AAGGGAAAAGAAAAACCTTAATAAACAAAAAATGAATATAAAAACAGTTCGTATGATAACCTAAATATTTAATTACAATTGTTAAATAGAACAAATACATACCCTTTTTTTTGGATTTCCTGTAATATATAAACCGCGCCAAACAAGCGCGCACAAATGTGATCACTTCTTTAATGGAATGCTCACATATTTTATAAAATATTATTGTGCCTACCACATAATCGTATTCGAATTTTGATCACTCTTTAAGCTCACAGTTTTCATTGGACTTGCACAAGTGTGACAGGAGTACAAACTTGTCCAGACGTTTATAAGACTTTAAATGTGTTCTAAAAAAACCAACACGAGACGGCAAAGCGTAACTTTGTGTTCAAATTGTGAAATTATCAAATGCCTGTGCCACACATGTGAACACTTATTGACCACATGTCTAGCTCTGGCATAGCGCATAGTATGGGTAGTTATATAATACCACGGTGCCTCATAACTCGTGCGTCTAGTGCTGGTCGCAGCGGGGCTCCATCGTATAAAGCATACCGAACATACAAGATTTCATGTTCTCTGAATACTAAGCCGCGCTTTTGGTGATATAATATTTTGTTAATTCGCGTCTACTAATATTCACGGAATTCGTTTTTTGGAATTATTACGTGACCAAAGTTATGAAATGCGCGGTCATGTTTCTTCTTTGTTTATTTTTTATTACTCCAAATAAATGTTGTAATTTTTTGCTACTTCTATTGCTGCTTACAGTATATAATACATTGATATAATAATTGGTTATAGACACAAAACATTATTCATTTGGTTTATCTATTTCATGAAATGATTAATGAATCATCGGCGGCATATGACGACTGTTAAACGAATCAGGAAGAAAGAACAGCCCTGCCGATTTTTTTCTGTGCCACTTCTCTTTTCGTTGGTTTGCGATTATTCAATAGCCTAAACATCACTGTTTTAAAGATTTTTAATATTATGCATATCATTATAATTTCTATTTATAAAATCTACATTGAAAACCTAAAATGCAGTTCTCTGTTAAAAAGTACTTTATTTAAAAGCTTTTTCAATTTACTTATTTGTAACCTATCAATTGTTGTATGTTTGTCGTCATTAGTAGTTTGTTATAAAAACAAACTTATTAATCCTATTTCGATAAAATATAAGGCGTCGGGCCTATAAGCTTTCGAATAAAAAAGAATCTAGGCTCCTTTTAAATTTTGGAGTCGATTAACAGTATAGTCTCTTAAAATTATTTTGTTTATGTAGTGCCAGTCTTCATTCAAGACAGAGCAAACTTGTTCCACTGATTGCATTTCTCTATTTGTCACATTGTAAAGGTATTTCGAATATCTAATTCAGTATATCACAAGTCATAGGTTTGTGTCACTCGAATATCGCATATATTGCACAGTATTAATTAAATATACACTACCCCCAAGCAGCAAAATGTGGTCTAGTAATCATCCTGGAACCCTGAATCCTTTTAGCAGTTATAGAACCACAATTTTATCAGGACTATAATGGAGTAGTAAGCAATTATAACCACGGAAAAGGTCCCAATTTACAGGCGTATTTGCTCTTATTCAATATCTATAATAGACTTGGTGAACACCACTTTGTTCAATAACGACCCTATAGTTAGTCTACGTAGAACTATTTGCTCCTGCGAAGCTAACAGTCAGCGCTTAATGGAACTAAATACGACAGTAAAAAATCTCTTACAGGCTCATTCAAAGTGTTCTGAATTGGCAAATGTTGTTGCACATATTTATATTGATAATGGTAAATTTTCATCCATTTCTAACTATAAATAATATCTAAAATATTAATTAAAAGTAAAGTGTTACTTATGTAACAATAAGTAATGGCTGGCGCATGTATATTTTCGGTGAAGTATAATAGGTTTTCCATTAAAATTTTTACTCGCCTCTCAGTAGTAAAGTTTTTAATAAGTTAGATTTCGAAATAATTGCGGTTTCAGTAAGATCATATAACGAAAAGTCGCCATCTTGTCGGATGGTTTTTCCAAATACATTAACAAACCATTTTAGGCGTACTTTGTCTAAAAAGGGCAAATATTAGAACCGTTTCTTGGCCATATTTTTTGGAATCAGGGTTCAACAAATATTAATATAACCGGAATATTTTTCATATTTTATTATAAAATTTTTGTTTAGGTATCAACATTTAGCTTGGTAGTGTTTTTGGACGTCGTTCACTTTTTGACTAAAAGCGATTTTCGAGCTTTGAAAACCTCAAGGTGGGCTTGGGAATAAATTATTGTGTAAAAGTAAGGTAGGAAATCTAATGTAAGAGGGAAAATTTTTAATTTACCTTGAATAAAAATTCATAAGCAGGTATCAATATTTTGTTTATTTTTTTTAACTTCTGACTCATTAACGAGTTTGGTAAGTATTTTAGCAGAAATTATAACTACTAACGGAATTAACCAATCAGTGAATTATTAAAAATAAAGTAATGTTCTTCAAATATTTATATAATTCTGGTAATTCACAATGTGTACAACAGCGGTATATTTGATATATTTGAACTGTACACAACAACTTACATTTTATGTTTGAAATTTTAAAGACGTTTTCCTTTTTATTGTCGTTGATTTAATTGAAATTGCATTGATATATTTTAAGAAATAACGATTTTATTGGTTGATCGAATGCAGCTTGTGCTTGTTCAATAACATTAACACGTATTTCAATATAATGCTCTCGGGTCTACAGCCCATTTTATAAGATCACCATGTAGTTCAAAATTAGAATAGCCTTCAATATCGCTTTCATCTTCTGATACAGATTCCTCATTTGATAATTCAAGGTCTGAATTCAAATCGATTTTTATCGATAAAGCGTCATTTTGTGCTGAGTTAGTATTATAAACGTTCTGTCTCAAATTATCACAAGAATTGTTTTGTACGGAACTATTTCCTGTTTCTACAATACTTTCTTCGCCAGACATAAAGTTCAAACCGGACACCTGAATTATTTGCTCATAGGTTTTCGGAACTTTTCGTTTGTAAGAACCACTTCTTTTTAGCCGTTTCTATTTATACAGATCCATTTGATAACAGAAGTTAATAGCAGTTCGGCAAGGAATAAGATTTATCAGAATTAAAATATTTTGGTTGAGACTATAACAACTTTTGCAGGATCATATTAAACCAATACATTCTTGTATCAAAACCTTTATAGTAGTATTGTGATTATAACAATATTAAGTTATACCACTATAAAACTTATCCATTTTACTTATAATTGTTATCTAAAGTGGATTTATAAACCTATACAAAATCAAGTAATAAATGCAAATGGTTTCCAGTATGTTTAGCACTCTTATTGGCGTACTTTACTTGTAATAGTTCTATAATGAGTTATTTTAGCAGTTATAAGAATAGCTTACTAGTTTATCTACTCTCGAGTACATTTACACCCACAGCATCCTTTTATAGGGCACCTAAGCGTATAATACATCTTTAATTTCGATCTATAAGAGGTTATAAGTTGATTTAGAAGAGCGGATATACTACAAGGCCCAAGTGACTCCATGCTTCCTATTATAAGCGTGACAGTAAATACTATGACCGTTAAGAGAATGTTATAAGTACTGAAGGCCTATAACATCTGCACTGTAGGATAATTTTGCTGCTTGGGCCCTGATTTACATTTTTCGTATATAATATAGGTATAATCTAATATTTCCGCTGCTCATTTAATAAAAGATCTTCGTAAGAACAAGTTTTTGTATTTACGCCGCTCACTTGGAGTAATAATTTTGTTCACATTTTGAGATGTTTTATATTCTTAGTGGGCACAGTGGATTCGGATATAAACAGTAAAACAATAAAGTATCTTATATTATTGTAAGAGCAACGATCAGGTCTGCAAAAGATGAATTCGGGCTTTTAGACCAAAATTTAGTGCGGCAAACTAAATTGGAAAATCATTTTAGATAAGCATTAAGTAACATGTCTATTTTATTGATTTTGATTTATGTGGTAACAACCTAAATTACATCATAATCTACTCGATCTTCAAGTACAGTTTTCGATTACTTCTATTAAACATAGACCGGAGGCTAAGAAATATGTTTCGCACTTGATCAAGCATTCGACTAGTTACATGATAGGCATATCCCATTTAACCAATCACCACGTTAACAACGTTAATATCATCGGGTATAATGAATTCTGTTGTTTAAGAAAAATCACGCTTTGTATTAAATTTTCTGTTTGAAGCTTTTGAATTTGAATACAAACAATTCCTAAAAGTTAAATATTTGTTCAATCGAGCAAGAATCGAAGGTAGGAGAGGTGAAAAACTTTCCCAGATGCCTATACATTACCTGGTTGACCAAAGAACTCTGACTTATCATTTAAAAGCAAAACATTTCAAGCGTTTGATATTGTTATAAGAAACGCTCGCCAACGACGCAAATAAGCACAAACGGAAAATACAAATGCAATCCAATAACTATATCTACGTAGCAGCCAGATGTCTGCGTTAGTCCTGGCAACCACTATTATCTTGCCAGCCTGCTTCTTTTTCATACTTCTTTTGAAGGACTCAAGGTTGTCGGAATTTAAAGACACGTGCAGAGGAAAACTGTTCCACGTTTTACTGGTTTTGAAATACAAATTGCCCGATTTCTTTGTATAAGATGGTTCGATAATTCAATCTGTAGATGTTGACGATATCTGATATTATGTTATATTAATGTCTAACTGATTCCAGACAAACATGTTTACGAGTCAGATCGGCTGTGTTTTATTTGCACAGGGTGAAATCTAAAGTATTACTTTATTTTAGAATAGTTGGTAACTTTTCCTTTTTGGTCTTTAATTACAACTATATTTTGGATAATATACTGATAATGAGAAAAAATTTTGCCATAGATCTGACGGCTCGAAACTAATAAGTCATTTCTTTCACAACCCTAGCCAAAAGTGGCTATTGGTAGGTGCATTTATAAACTGCTATAAATCATACATGATAAGGAAAAAATGACACTGACCTGAAATAGTCATTCTTGCAGAAAATGCTGCTGTCTCTCGCGTAGCAACGCTGCTCTGAATCTAGAGGCATCTTGCACTCGCAGCAGCGCAAGCAAGGCGTGTGCCAGCGCCTCTCGAGCGCCAATAGGTAGTATCTGTCGGTGATGCGAGCTCCGCAGCCGGCGCACGGGTCGTCGGCCGGAGGGCGGGGGGCGTCCGGCCCGTCCGGTTCACGCTTCCGACAAGAGGTGCAGTCCCTCGGGGAGCCTGGTGAAGTGGCGGGCGCTACGGGCGACAGATCCCCACCACCTTCGTATGACGATATGTACCTCTCACTCTGTTGCTGAAAACGAAAGCGGTAAATTAGAATTATCCTGTATATTTACACCAGAACGCTTGCGGGATAGGCAGACTGAATTGAGCTATACAAGGCGAGGTCGAACATTTATCCGTGACAACGCTCGCGTAAATTATAACGTGGATCACCCGCGTGTAATATAGTTTCCAGCAGAAGAATTTAAAAGATCAGTTCAATAGTTTCGAAGCCCGATGCAAACAAACAAAAAAACAATCAAATCATTGCTGCTTATTGCAGATTCCAGAAGCAACGAGGATACACAACCAGCAAGACCCAAACCCTACCGACATTGGTGCTGTGGCCACAGAGACGACGGCACTTTTACATCGGTGTCCGTATCACTCGACAGTCCACTCGACAGTGGTCGCCGGGCCTCTATGTCGCTGCTGCTACAGCGCTACTACAGCGCAACTCGAAGTGGAGTTGGTGGCTGATTTTATTTCAAAATAGCATAACAAAGCGCCACAAGACCCGCCCTTTAAATAATGAAGTCGTTTTAAGGAATAAATAAAAAAAAAATGTGTATTGAAAACGTATGTATAATAAAATATTCGTATGTGAAGTTTCTGTAATTGCAATTATCTTTTACTCAAATAGGTGTATTCTTATAAGAAATATATAAGAATTTTATATAAAAATATAATGAATAGGTAAAACATCATTAACGTGCCTAGACGGTTAACGAGTATAATACTTTTGAAGATCACAAATTCACACTCTGTGACCAAATAAATAGGCACTGACAATAATAGGAACGAATAAATGATGCGTGTCACAACGAAAAATAAATATAATTAGAAATTATTTACGTAACATTTTGTGTCTGCTCAAAAAAATATTAAATAATAAAAACATTTTTGATTTTCATAAAGCAATAATAAATTAATTAAATATATTAATTTTATCATAAGTAAAATTAACATTAAGGTACTTTAAATTAGTTAAAGTACCTTAATGTTATATTTTTTTTTATCTAATACCTATTATGGAAATCTGAAACAACCCGAAACAATAGAGATGAGTTCATTTTTCTTTATTGACACAACCGTGAATCGAACCTCGGAGATATGGATACTTTGAAACTGTGTGAGTACTTCGTCCAATTTTAGAATATCAGATGAATCCTCAATCCAAACACTTGCATTCATTTGACACAAGACATAATCAACACTAGACTAACCTTCAGATACTAAGCTTATCTGAGACCCACAAGTTATCGGTATATAAACTAACTACCCTTTGTACTCATCGCAATTGAATATTTTAGAAATATAGATACCTATTGGCTGGGTACGAAGTACTAAGTGGGGGTAACGCAATCTATCACAGCGCTCACGGTGGCCAAAAGAAATACATCGCGGCCTACTATATACTTGTATTTCTTTCCACTTAATTAAGATGACAACTGTTAATTAATTTTAACAAACTTTATTGACCATTGAATTTTTACAAAATGCGGACTTAATGCTATTAGCATTCTCTACCAGACAACCTTTGGTATACAGAAATACATGATGGCGGCATAAAAACAACTAATAAATATATTATTTCGTTAATCATGATTTATAATACAAATCAAAACTAAAATAAGTGTTTCTTTTTATTATTTTACGTTAAATCTAAATCATAATTTGCATAGGAATAGATGAAACAATAAATAAACTGTGATTGAAAGACATTTGTAAATTTTCTTAACGATTATGTTTTTAATCAAAGAACATCACATTACTTATATTTCAAAGTAAAATACAATGAACAAAGCAAAGTCAGCGATATTACCAAACGGATTGCGAAATTGAAATGGGAGTAGACTGGACATGTCGCCCGTAAGCACGCACGTGGTGCAAGACTATAGTAGAGTGGAAACCATGGGGTGAGAAACGCCCACGAGGAAGACCGCAGATGCTTGGCGCGACGACATCAAGAGACTGGCGAGAACTAAAAGATTGGAGACTGCTCAAGACCAAGAAAGACGGCACAAACTGCGGGTGTAGACCGCACCTAAGCGGTTGAAAAAGCCTATAGAGAAAGTGAAAGAGTGTGTTTAAAATAACATTCTGATTACTATTGTTTTTGTTTTCAAAAAAATTATGTTGTTCTACCTGTGATTATGAGTTCCAACGGAGATTAATCACCTACTTTACAAAACATAGACATTGTAAGGTATCAAAGTAATAATTTCATATTGTGTGTGATACACACAAATCCGCTCCTCAGAATAATACTAATTTCGATCTAAAAACCATATATCATTTATTACTAACAAGGAATAATTGTATAATGTATGTTTACCATTTTTGAATGAAATCATCAAAAGCGCTTTAGTTTCTTGCTTAACAGTAAAATTGCAATTAAAAATGAGCTAAACAAATTGTGACATAACCAAAACAAAACATATTTTTTTAAAATAAAATTTAGTCACTTCATTTAAATTGACGTTTAATTTCAAAGCTTAAAACCTGGCAAAGTTGGTACGTTAAATACATATACCTAACGCATAAAAAATTAAGTTCAATAACTAAAATCCAAATACAGCTAAATCACGCGCTAAAAAGTAGGAAACAAGAAATTTATTTAAAAGCGATAGTTGTGGCAATAGCTATATTATAATAGCGATAACCAAAAGACATCGATCAATTAAATGACATTGACCCAAAAATTATTAAAATAAAAATATAAGTTCAAAAACTAAAACCCGATATCAACTAAATCAAGCTCTAAAAAGTTGGAAACAAGAAATTTATTTTATAGCGATAGCTATATTATAATAGCGATAGCAAAAAGACATCGATCAATATAATATAGCTATCGATAAAATAAGTTTCATACTTTTAGCGTGATTTAGCTGTAATCGGATTTTAGTTTTGAACTATTTTTCATTTAATAAATTTTCGGGTGCATTTAAGCAAAATCGCAAGCAAAAGCTATAATATATAATTAAGCCCTTTTATAATATATTTTACTACTTTTCGCTTGGCCGTAGTCGGGTAAAATCAATGAAAAGAGAGCACAGTAGAGTTTTGAATTTTTTTCGAATAAATAAATGTATATATATAAATAAATAATACTGTCTAATATATATTTATCAGTAACTTAATTAAGAATTTACCTCATTTCAGAGCGATAAATTTCATATTTAAAAAAAATAAACCATCATTATTAATAGGATTCGGTTTCGATATTATGACGACGGGGTCGCCGCTGCCGCCAAAGGTTATCACGACTTCCCACAACCATACATTGTTACAAACAAATGGTTTTCCATGAACCTAATCTATGTAAGAAATTACCGCAAAACATATATCCGATACTTATACGCTTATACTAAGCAAGGATCAACTTCAACTACACTGTGGCACTACTTAGAACATCTTTATTATTATTTTAGGCTTTTGTTCAAAACTGCAACTTTCTTTAACAGAGATATGATTGAATTGCAATTAAAAATCTCTAAATACAATAATTTAATGAATTAAAGTCTTTTGAAGACGGCTACCTACCGTTTTATTTTCTTACATAATAGCAGTATTTTTATGAAACATCTTTCAAATGATGCTTTAAAAAAATTAGTCTATAAATGATTAATATGTTATGTTTCTATTGGTAACTGATACTGATCGATTACTTCATTGACAGCTCTTTATTCTAAACAAAAATGGCTGATTCGCAGAATAACTATATTGGTATCCATTAGAAATCATCAAAACAAAAGTATTAAAAATGTTTTTCATATTACCAAACCTACACCTTATTATATTATAAGGGCAAAATTTTTGTATAAGGGATAATAGAATTGCGACGTCAATAATACTCTGTCGTAAATCTCCATTTTTTAATATACCTACATATGTCCTTAGGTTAGATTGAGGTCATGAGAGAGCGAATCGTAAATAAATAAAAAAATAAAAAATATGACTATTCCTAACCATTGTAAATAATAAAAAATATATATGACCAGTATAAATAAGAATATAGTTACATGATAAAATAATAATTAAAATAAATATTACCAGTATATATAAGAATATAGTTACATGATAAAATAATAATTAAGAGATTTATTTTACTTTTATTCTTCGTTTCATAATTAGGTACTATTATTAGTTTGGGTACTGGTTATATATTGTGTAGTCGGAGTAAACCACGAATAATAGGCGGTCAAATCAAATCCAAACTTTATTTGTTGATCATGTACATAATTAAGTAATTATAGGTGCTCAAATATTTAATTTAATTTTAAATAAAATAAAATACACGGATATCAAAAATACGTAGAAAACATAATTACATAGATATCTCAAAGAAAAAAGGCAACGATTTCAAATTTTGTTTACATCCAAACAGAATAATTTACTATACGTGGTACAAAAAAAATGACTGATTAAAACCTTAACACACACTCGCAAAATGAACACTATGAGAAACTATCTCTTAGTTTACACAAAATAAATAACCTGTTCAAAAAACTAAAAATTGAATAATTCAGTTTTTTAATCACAATAATATTGTAATGCTGTAAACGCCAAACGTATCACTAAAGCGACCTATAGATAACATAATATAAACATAGATTTGTTACGTTATAACTCAATGAATACAAACTTTTTTGTCATAAAAATAAATAAATCCAAGATTGAGAACCACCACCATATTTTGATGGTCAACGGTAAAAAGGAACGTTGAAACAGTCGTGGATAAAATCGGATGATAATTTTTATTATAATTCTAATTGGGTTTATAACCCATAAGAGTATGATTGAATCTTGACAAAATTCTCTAATTATGAAATTGATTTAAGCATATTTTTTCTTCAAGTTAAGATAATGTTATATAATTAAATTTAATAAATTATTCAAGAATTAATCAATCGTTGTAGAATTTGGGTACATAAATGGTTATCCCTAAGGATTAGTAGGTTTAAAATAACTATATATCTAAATCTATCGTTTCTCTAATATTTATTGACAACAGAACGTTTATAAATAATAATAATCCCTTATCCTTCATAATAATACAATTTAAATTCGTTAGCTTATTATATCTACACCTACACATGCTCTTATCATTTTTTTTTACTTTTCGTCGATAATAATTTCACTTACAAATAAATATAAACCGATGTTTTACTTAGTAAAACAGTTTTTATTAAAACTACTTGTAACTTATTTTAGTATTAATTTCATAATTTCAAATTCTCATTTACAAAACGGTGTGATTTCAATGAAAGCGAGAAAAATTCTCGCCGTTGATCCAAATGCCGGCGGCAAAATTATTCTCTGCATTTTTAATTTTTTAATAAAGTTCATTCGTTCAAAATACTGAAAAATTTAGAGAGAAAGGGTGGCTTCCGTATTCGCTGGCATTTCAATAAAGACAGGTGTCGACGAGTGGAATCCATTGCAATAGCTGTCGATATAAGTACAGAGCTTGAATGTTTTTTAACTGTGTCGACTGTGTTTTATAAATAAATTGCTTTTCGTAAAATGTTATTTACTTTTAATAATAAAAATTGATTATAACGTGAATTACAGTATAGTCCAGAGATGTAAGGAACACTTTTACAATATTCCCAATGGTTTGCGAGTAACTAATCAAAAAGTTTCTTACGCGTTATTCGGCATCCTTTATTGTCTTTACACCGACCGTCAAATATTAAAAAGTCATGGATACTGTAACTATATGTTTATAGCTAACTGTTTCCAACTTACATCGATCCATTTAAATGTTATTTTTTCAGTCACGAAACAATTAAATGAAGAAAATTTATTAGAGTATCTGTTCCCGACGGTGAAACATTAAAAAATAGCAAGTATCGACTTCTAAAAATATTTTCAAAAGGGAAACTCAAAATAAAAATTGATATAAGAGCCTCAATTTTTATATTTAGTCTATTATAGATTCCCTAATTCATATATTCATTATTTAATTCGGTGACTTAGTTTTAAATATAACCTACAGACTAAATATATAGAAACTAGCTTTTCGCCAGCGGCTTTGCCCGCATTGTCTTGTATTATACATAAAAACCTTCCTTTTGAATCATCCTATCTATAAAAAAAAACCGTTTAAGCATACATAGGGATATACGGACAGAGAAAGCGACTTTGTTATAAACTACGTAGTGATTGATGATGATTCGCCAAAATGTACATATGTACGCGCATAACTTCCGAACGATATCACTAAATTGGATGATTATTTTTTTATGTGTTATAATATGAAATTTATAAAAAAGAAAATATATAAAAAACGGATATAAGGCGATATAAAGTTTGCCGGGTCAGCTTGAAATTTTTATTTACAATAGATTTAATCGTGTTTTAATGTCTTATGAAGTCAGCTTTATTATCTTTCGGTATAATTTTTAGTATTCTTTCGTTTTGAATATAAACAATATCTATACTTATATTAGGTATAAAGAGGAAACATTTGATCATCTGTCTGTTTGTCTTTTACATTGAATAGGCTGCGGAACTACTGATTGATTTTAAAAATTATTTTACCTACCGGAATCTACATTATACGCGGGTGAGGTAGGCTATAACTTACGCGGAAAAAGTAGCGAGTACAATTGGTACAAATTCAGATTCTTATTATTGAAGATTAAACTATACCTATCACAAAATTCAGCAACAAGTAGCTATTTAAGTATACCCAGATATCACGTTTCTAGATAAAGTTCACTGCCAATAACATAATATATTAAAACACATGTAAACAGCGCTTTTCAAACTTTTGTTTCGATATTATGTATAAATAAAATGGTACACCCATTTTAAAATAGAATTTCACTTTTCATTACAGTTATTATTTGTAAACATTTTCTTCTTAGCAGAATCTATTAATATTTAGTTAAATATAGTTAATAATAAACTGATGCATTTAACATTAAGTATAACTTTATCATTGATAAATAGGCATGATAGTTATTTTTCTATTATAATATATTATATTATTAATCTAATATATTATTTATTAATATAATATATATTAAACTAATATGTAATTTATTATTATATTTAATATAATGGGTTTTAATTCAGTTATTTACGAATTGTTATGTTTACATTAGCGTTTTATAATTATACTCTTAATAGTATTTAATGATCAAAATTGCTATTAGCCCACGTATTCAAGTAGGCCTAACGCCTCGTAGCGTGTACCGTCGTTAAAAAGATGTCAACGCTACACTGATTTTAAAGGGTTTTTTATTTTTATTTTATTACAATTGATTAAAAATATAGCTTTCGGTTAAACTTATATTATAAGTACGAATTTATTATAATATTAAGTTTATAGTAATAACATTGCTTATGAGCTCATATTATAATAAATTGATTTTTCTTATAAACAATATTGATATCAATTTACCTCAAAGTAAATACACTAAGCATTTACTTTGAGGTAAATTTGATTAATTGTTTAAGTTTTACTTATTTTATAACCAGATGTTTTAATTACTACTATACATAGGTAGGTACTTACATAAATGTGGACTTAAATTTTATTTGTGTGTAGATTTTTAGTGTTTAAGCATCTTACTTGATAATTTTACACTATTAATTGTATTTAAACAACAACCTAATTATAATTAAATACACATAACTCGTATGCATTAATGACATATTTATTTTGCGATGTTTATAACACATAGTTACTATTTTTTTTAATTTAATTTAAAATAACACTAATATTTACAGACCGTCATTGATGAAAAAATATAATAATTCAAAATTTAATATTTTTTTTAAATTTATTCTCACCCAGTGCATCGCCCCCCTCTCCTCGTACACTCCCATCTGGGGATCAATTTTTATGTTTTCAAAAAGCGAACGATTGGGCCGACGCCCCACTGCACTCGGCACTCACTCGCGCATCGCACGTTCACACCGGGCCGCGGCCGGTGGGCAACTGGCGATTGCCGCCGCGATCGGAGGTGGGCCGGCAACGCCTCCTAACGCCCCTCCCCACCACAGAATTACAGTTCACCACAGCGTTTTTTGGGCGCGTAATAATTTCATCGCGACGACGGTTTGAGAATCGATGACATCTCAACGTTTTGGACGCCCGCTCCGTTTCTGTACTTTTTCAGTGTTTAAAGCTTTTTATAATAGATCGATGCAATAAGAGAATTTTTCGCTGCTTTCGTATTTAAGTTGTTACTAGTTGTTGCACGCGGCTTTGACCGTGTGGTCAAAAGGTAATAACTCGACTACTCACTCTACAGCCTATAGTACCTATAACAATGCACCATTGCGAAGTAGAAAAACTAACAAAAAAATCTTCCCATTAAACATTAATTACACATCTAACTATATTTTCCAAATATAAAAATAAATATGTTTATTAAAATTAATTTGTTCTAAATTAATTAATACTTAAAAAAATTAGGGTGCACAATCTATTTTTCTTTTCTAAATTATAAACAAACGTCGAAGATATTATTCGTAATTAGTCAGTCATGGTCTGTTAAGTTCAGCATCTTAAAGTTTATTTTCGTAATTTATTACAAGACACCTGTCGCCGCTTTCAATGAAATTAATGGCATTATTTTTACATTTAGCAACCAGTCTCGTAATGTTAATTACGATTCTACAATTTAGTGACATTCCACTGACCATTTAAACCAGGGATTCCCAAAGTTGTCAATATTGACTGCTTTGGGTCTACATTGGTTTAAAGCTAATTTTGAGAGCTCAACCACTTTTAAAAATTCGTCCATTATTAATTATCAATTTTACGTCGTCTCTACACTGATCACCGCATGCGACGTGCGGGGAATTCTGTTCCTCGCTTTCATTGGCCAGTCATTGTTTTATTGACCAATGAGATGGGCGCACAGTGGTGCTCCGACCAGTGTAACTGTGCCATGTAAATTTCAAGAAACTCTACTAATATTTTTGTAGTAATGTCTCTGTTTACACAATTATTATTAAGTAATTAGACTTGATATTTGTAATATTCGCTATAAGAAATGATGTTAAAGGCTTATAGTTAATGAAATATTAACTATAAGTATATATATGAAAATACATGATCGACTGTGGTCTGGACCTTTGGGAAAGTTTTGGAATTTTTGATAACAGGGTTTTGCCCAAATTAATTTGTAAATCTCTGATTTAGAGTAAGAAGTAATGGGAATAAATAATTTTAATATATTTTCCTTTATACCTGAAAAAGGACAATTATATTATTGTGTCTGTTAGTTTCCCTTTTTTTTCTTTTTTTAAGGTTCCGTACCCAATGATATAATAGGGTTCCACTATGACGAAGACTGCCCTGGTTTTTTTTAAAAACTAACGTCAGAGATAGAGAAGAAAAAAACCGGCCAATTACGTATAGAACTAGCGCACGAAGGAACCTTTTAAGGATAAGTCACATTTTTATTTTGCTAGGCTTCCCCACATTGCCAAAAGTCTTTTTTCTATATTGCCCATGTTATTATTTATTGACTCTTTCAATAAATAATAACTGACATTTTGTCAATTTTTCTTTTATTGAATTATTCGTTGTAAAATACATAACTACACAATATTGACTAAGATTTTGGGTTCGTTTCTTATTTTTTTGTAAGATAATCAATAATTGCAATGTACTGAAAAAACAATATAATAGATTTTAAACGTTTTTTTCATCTCCTGAAAAGTTGCATTTTTGCACTTATTATTTATTGACTCTTCATAGACGATATGTCTTTTTTCTTTACTGTTATTATTAGTAAATTTTCTTATTTTGGCCCTTGTCTGTTTTATTATTAGATGTAATCCTAACTATCATATAAGACACTGTATACAACGAAAATCATATTTACTTTATTCTTTAGTTTTTAGTATTTATTGTTAAAGCGGCAACAGAAATAGACAGGTGAATATTTTAAACATTTGAATAAGACAAAAAAAAAAATTGATACAGAGATGAAATCAAACATGTGTGACATGCACCTATCTTAAGATTCCATTATACAAAGCCAGTGTGTAGACAGTACCCTTGGATCACGTGTGCGAATCCTAGTTACGGCAAGTCTATTATAGATCATCATCGCATCGACAAAGTCACATGCATGCCTGCATCGCGCTTACGAAGTTTTGAACTCGGCTGACATATAAGCCAAGAATAGAGTCTAACGTTCGGACCGTAGTGGTCCCCGGGCGGAGTACACCTAGCCCGGTGGAGGGGATTGCAACCTTCCAACAGTCGGTACGGTAGACAAATGAGTCTGATTGTATAGCGTACCTACTCTGTACTCGACTAAGTCGCCCGTCCGATGTGTCGTTCACAAAATCATTCGCCACTTGCGCAATTACCATCTATGCGCACCTTTTTGCTCATTCGTTTGAAATTTCGTTTTATATAAATCTTTAATTATTAATAATTTTTTTTATATTAAAAGTTATTTTTTTTATTAATTTTATATATAAAAATTTTCTTTAAGTATCTTTGCCAGAGAATTGTTAAAGAACATGATGACGTCTCATTATTGAGTTAGATTAAAATATATATATAAATATATGTGTTTTTAATAACAGAAAAATTTAAAAATCGGATGTTCACATAACATAAATTCTCAAAAATTTATTTATTTACTTATTATTTAATTAGGTACGTCAACATCATACATATTTAATTAACCTTTACAATACAATATTAAAACAATTAGGTACAATTGAATAATGAACATGAAACATATGACAATTACAGACATACACAACATTCACTTATTTATATTATTGCGCATAAAAATCCTAAACACTAAATCAATAGTTTTAAATTACATTAATAAATTCAAAATTAGTTAAATGAATCAAGTCAAATTAAATTAGCTTAATAAAAAAATATACAAATAATTTAATCATGGGAAAATGATAAGCATTTTCCCATATAGGCTGAAGAAAACTGGCTCCCATACTTGCACCTCGAAAGGAAAAAAGGAACCCTAATAGGATCAATCAATTGTACAACATCTGTCTGTCCGTCCGTCTGTCATATGTGATTTTCTCCGAAACTACTGTACTAAAATGTACTGTACTAAAAATTACCTTTATGTTATTGTAATGCAGCGTTAGACGCATTTGCATTATAATAATATAAATGTAAGCTGTTTTGTTTTTTTTTTCAGCCTATATGGGAAAATGATAAGCATTTTCCCATATAGGCTGAAAAAAAACACGAAAACAAAACAAGTAATTTCCTAAGATGCTTTGTTAAATATTTTTTCATGGGTAAGCTCATGTTTTAACATAATTTTATAAGATTCAATAGGTATATTTAAAAAATGAATAAAAGTGTTTATAATCATTACTAAATATGGTCATTAATTCTCTTTTTGATAAGTTGGGGTACATTTATTTCATACACCAGGCCACTTTAAAACCATTTCTGAAATCGAATTCATAGATATACTAAAGGACAGTGTCGTACCCGGCGGGACATTTGAATGTATGCCTAAAATACTAGATGTCCCATGAAATACACCCGTATGGCAACACTATGCGAGACCATATATATCATCAAAACTGTCCTCGAGCATTTAATAGAAAACAATAAAGCATTTCCATTACTCGCATTAAGGCTCTCATTCACCTCCGCTTATGTTCCCATACAAATACGCAAACATACGCATCGGGGGTAAAAATGCGTATAGCTTTAAAATAAAATGTTAAAAAAAAACAAAAAGAGTTTAACATAAAAAATAGTAATAAGAGAAAAAAATATATATAACTCAAGTTGTCTTTAGGTTCTTAACATCAGTTGACGTGAATAACTTTTTAACGTCGTGGAAAAGCTTCTGACATTGTCTCTGCTACGTGGCAAGCAACAGGGGGTGAGTAGGATTCTCCTACGTGAACCCGATAGTGAGCTGCCCAGTGGGTCCGCAGAGGCCTACCCACCAAATCCCGTACGCTTCACCCAAGCTATGGCCGAGTCACAATATATACTAAGGTAGACTTTTGTATAATTTGAAGCTCCAACTTTAAAAGTTTAAAATTTAAAAGCTCTTCGATTTTAAAACATTTACCGTTTAGGCAGGTTCTCAAGTCGCAGTCGCCGTTGGAGGTACTTCGATCCCTAGGGAATCTTTTATTGGGATAAAAGTAACCTATATGTTAATCTTAGAACTGCCTTATATATCATCAATTTCTGTTTAGTAATTTTTGCGTGAATAGGTGACAAATATCCAAAATTTTGCCTTTAAAATATTAGTATCTAGTATGTACAATATAACATAGCGATAGCAATGATATATTTAATACCGTACTATATATAGGAGATATATCGATATTATGTTATGATTATATCATTTTTAAAACATCTATTTCGATTATATTTAATAAAAAAAATAATTAGCATTGTTTATGAATTTAAACAGTCGCAGATTTAATGTTGCGTGTTAGATATAGATTTATTTAACAAAAGTTGCAGATTTTATCAATATTCATTCCTTGTATAACTAACCACTATTACTGTTTTTACCTTCGATCCTATCTGCAGTTAATATCAATGAACCGCCATAAATGACTGTTCTATCATCATCTCCTAATTGAGAGTCTTCGGTATCACTTTTTGGGATTCCCTTTTTTCTAGGATTGGAATAAGGATTTAAAACGAAAACGTAAAAAAAAACAATTACGTAAGGTACTTACAGTAGAGGTAAAGCCAATTGCCTGCATATATCATTATATATTAGGACCAGAATGATGACAGGGCTGGGTGTAATTTAAGTGCCACCATCAGTAGGCGGAGTACACCTAGCACAAGAATATATTATATGGTGTTGTACAATCTCCCAATAATCGGTACGATAGATGATGAATCTCTTAGACCATAGATGTGTAGTGCAGTGTTATTCAACCCTTACATGAGTAGTGGAGGCGCCGGCAAAAGAAACAATTCAGGA